GTTGATTTTTCTGCCCATGCCCAGGTGTCAATTTCACAGCCCTCAAGGTGCTCCCCAAGTGCTATGGGTTGGGTTGGGTACAAGACCACATGGGTTAACACCAAAAGATCCATTGTGCAACTTATGTTTTTGTGGGAACTTCATGTGTCCACAATCATCTCTTTCTGTCATGTTGAACTTGGCAATTGCTGAGTGGTACTGCCACTGCCATTTTGCACCAGTCATCGGAGCAAAGTGTTGCAAGTTGGTTTCCAGAGTAGGTGATCGGACTTGTGTTCCATCACATGTGACTTTTTGTAAGATGATAAGATGATAGTAGGGGGGTTCACGAAGGCAAATCTGGAGCAAAACTAAGGCACAACTTGAACACAACTCCATCACGTGTGGGTGCAGTTATGCCTCAATAGTTTTTGCAGTTTAGGATTAGTTTGGAACTAGTTATGAGGCATTCACAAAGATCCATATCTTAGGCTCAACTAATATTTCTTTAACACCGTCTACCCTTGACTTATGTAAGAACTATACAGTTAATGTTGACTCTCAAGCCCCCACAAACAACCGACACTGAAGCATGCTCACGGTTTCCAAATTCCTACTATCAGCACCACCATCACTTAATCCTGTCCCAAACCTATCCTGCCATGATATGATGAAGGATAATCAAAACTGCACAGTCCTCACCTGACTTTCTGTCACTGGGCAGTGGAGTTAAGACATTTCTAAAGGCCAAGTTGGGAATGAGTTTTGATCCAGTTGGGCCATGTGAGTCTCAACTCGCAACTCGACACAACTGGCTGTTTTGTTGTAGTTTTGTTCAGTTGCATTTGAGTTGAGGAACTCAAGTTGAGTCCGAGTTATGCATAGTTGTGCCTTCATGAACCCCCCTAGTGGTTGTGAGTATTGCCTCACACTCCCAGTCCATCTGAGATATGCTATAATAGGCTGTCTAATCAATGGGGGAGTAAAGGCTGTAAAGCCTTAACTTGCCCACATGCAAGGTTTATACACATGGGGGAAGAGCACATGCAGCCTATGCGGCTTGCAGGGTCTCCGAGTATATACAATAATGTAGCGCTGTTGTGCAAAGTTACAAACTGATTATAATAGACTATGTTACAAATGTAAGGCAAAGCAAAAGAGTTAGGAGGGGGTGCATATGCAGCCTCCCTTCCTTACACTTTTGTATTGTAATCCACTTTTTGTACTTGAACATGACTTTACAACTGAATTATAATACAACAACTTAGTCAAGATTTTGCATGTCCACATAGTGGACATGGCTGGGTACGAGTCTGCAGCAGTAGCATCAATGAAAGCGTTCAAGATGCTTTCATATGATTCCACAAAAGGAATCAAGTACTTCTATAACCAGCTGTACCATGCAGCTGAGGAGATGATCATGCCCCCTGACCAGGCAACGTTCAATGAACATTTCCTGAATGCCATCCCCAGCAAAATGCCTTAAGAGATGGTTATGTGCCACAAAATCTCTGTGGACTACATGACAAAAGATGAGTTGTGGGTGCTGTGCTCCATCTGGACCACATGACTTGTTTAAGGTGATCTCTGCATATCGTAACAATTTGCAAGCACCAACAGCATCAAAATTGATGCAAAAAATCCAATGCCAATGCCCCAGCAGCAACCAAGAAAGCTGCTGACTCTTCCTCCACCAAGAAGGCATATAAAAATGCCTTCAGTGGAAACACATCCACTCAGAAGGGGACTGGACAACAATCGACTTTTTGCTCAAGCTCATGAAGTGAAAAGTGCAAACATTGCAATGGTTTTTTGGGGCACTGTATATACATCTAGGGGAGTTTGACGATATCATTGGGCTTTCCCTCATCCTATTTGGTTGAGCCCTGATCTGACCACCTTTGACCAGGTCACCTGCTGTAAGGGATTAACCTTACTTCACTATAATTCCAATTATAGTGATGCTATTATTTCTTTATTTATTTGTGCCGAGATATGTAATTTGCATATATATACCTCAGAGTAGTTGTAAAGGCCCAGTAGCCTTTTACCTCTACCCCGTTGAATATACAGCACATTAAAGCTTATGTTTAGACAGACCTACTGAGGCCTGGGGCGAACAGGGGAATGGAACGTTACCATCCCCAAAATAGTAAGCAACCCTTCACTTTTTTAAGCTAGTTTCCTTTTACAATCTCGGCACCCTGATTGGTGATGGAACCCTACTGTATCCCACATGCATTGTCTACCCTGACAATGCGCATTTGCACCTAGTTCTCACATGCAAATCATGCATGTGCCGTTCCTAGATGCACACTCACCTAGGCTGTGCCTCAGAGTAGAGGCAAACCTTCCCAATCTCAGGATCTGGGAAGCCACCGCAATACCGGTGCCAGAACCCCATTTGACAACCCAGATACTCCTTACACCCTCCCCTTACTCATCCTGATCTGAGGGAGGATGGATCTGAAGGGCCTCTTCATGCCAAGAGGAGCATTTTTCCTGGCACCTTTGAGTGCCAGGTCACCAGGATGCTCCGGACCACGGACCTGGTGGTTCATGATTCCCTACCCCTTCTGTGGAAAGGAGACCAACCCTTTCTAAGGAAAGGGTTCTCATCTATCATGGTTTTAGATGGGATCAGCAGTGCTTCAGCTGCTGCCAAGTGCCAGCTCATGGAGCTGCCCAGCGCTTCGGCAATTCCTGGGTTTGACAACCCAGCAGCACCTACTCCTTCCACTCTGCAGGAAGTTGAATCCGAACCGCCTCCTTGGCTCTCTGCAGGCCAAGAGGGACGCTTTCCTGGCGCTGTTAAGTGCCAGGTCACCAAGATGTGCAATGCTGTTCCACATCGCAATTTTGGTGATTCATTATTCTCTACCCCTTCTGCGGAAGGGAGACCAACCCTTTCCAAGGAAAGGGTTCTCATCTATCGTTCACTGCATAGTGAACGATCTGTTCTGCCCACAGACACTCCACCTCTGGGAAAGTCTGTGGATTCCTGGCATTATTGTGTGCCGGGTCCCCAAAACATGCGGTGCTTCTTTGTACTGCGCTCATTTCTCTGTTGCCTTTCCATCTGGAAGGCTGGCCCTTTCTAAGGAAAGGGATCCTCTCTATTGTTCACTTCATAGTGAACAAGCTGTCCCACCGACAGACAGGCTGCCCCCAGCGAAAATCCGTGTCTGAATGATCAGACATGCTCATTCCTGCCCAGTTTCATGGGCAGCACTTCCATTCTGTCGCTCTTATGGGCAGAATGACTTCTTTACTCCCCTAGATGATCATCTAGGGAGGAGCAGGTCGCTGCTCAGACCTCTGGCCCACATTCAAGTGTGGCGGAAATTTTTTCTTATTTTTTTTAAACTTAGATTCATAGGTTGAATCTTCAACTACTCCCCCAGACAACTGTCTAGGGAGGAGAAACAAACCCATGCCACTCTTTAGTGGTTATCTTTGTGGGTCAGCATTGCACTGACTCATATCAAACTATTATGTTACTCCCAGACAACACTCTAGGGAGGAGCGGCCTCAGTGACCTTTGGAATCACTGGCCATCACCGGGGTATTTGTCGAAATTGTATCCGGTGCAACTACTGGACTTATCTGGAGCTCCAATTCAAATGGCTTCAAATCCAGGTCACGTGGCAAGGACATAAAATCATGGACAAGCCTGGTATCAAACCCAGGACCTCTAGCATGCATCCATACACTACTTGCCCTTGAGCCATGCCGGTATAGGCTGTTAAACTCTATACTATTGGGAACATATTATATTCTCCAACAGTATTGACCTTTGGTGAGTTATTTGTGTCACCGGAGTATCAACCTTCGGGTGTGGAATCACTGGCCATCACCAGGGCATTGACCTTTGGTGAGTTACTTCCATCACTGGAATATCAACGTTCAGGTTGACTGCTTCATCTCTTGCTGGGTGGAAACCATGATGCCGCAAACTTGTGGGCATTATAAACTCAACTGCACAGTATGTGCCCAACCCCGCAGCGGACCACTTCAGGTGTCACTGCCCTTTCTCATCAACAACAATGCCGTTGTTGGTTCTTTTCCTTTCTTTTTTTGATTTTCGACGGTGACTCAACCGTTACTCTAGCTTGTCATATTGACACTTGCTACTTCATCATCGACAACGCTGTTGTCAAGAGCTGGGTACATATGTTCCAGGAGAAACTCTAAGTGGGCTTTGCCTACAAACTACTACTATGGCCTCCTGCAGTGAGTGTACCCCTGCTTGCATACATTCTTTGTAAGTAGAGTGTTATATTTCCTTAATATGCTTGCTTTTCCTTTCATATGCTTGTACCCTGTCTGCGATTCAATATCGCAAAGGAGGAGGATGTAAGGGATTAACCTATAATTCCCATTATAGTGATGCTATTATTTTCTTTATTTATTTGTGCCGAGATATGTAATTTACATATATATACCTTGGAGTAGTTGTAAAGGCCCGGTAGCCTTTTACCTCTACCCCATTGAATATACAGCACATTAAAGCTTATGTTTAGGTGGACCTACTGAGGCCTGGGGTGAATGGGGGAACGGAATGTTACCATCCCCAAAATAGTAAGCAACCCTTCACCTGCCCAATAAAATCAAGATGGCCAATTTTTTTGCAAAGGGCTGTAGTGCCTGCACTGTGTTAGGGACAATGCCAGGTAGGGCACTAGCATCAGCATCAGGGTGCCTCCGAGTCTGAGGCTGGGTGCTGACAAAACCCAAACCATCAGATAGTACTGTACCCACATGACCAACTACCAGCTGGGTCCTGAGTGTGACACAAATTTTTCAACCAGCAACTCAGTTTGACATGTGACACCCAACCAGCCAACTGGGCCAAAGGGAGGCAGTGCTAATTTCGGGAAAATGGCTGAGCCTGATGAGGTTGCTTTGGCTCCCTCCGACCTTGGCTGTGGAATGCAAGCTAGAAAAACACAGAATTTGGACAAGGAGGTGGCTGTTTTTCATTTCTGAACATACCCATTACCCAAAAAAGGAAATTTGATATTGCCTTTGCATAGCCACAAGTGAATGAGCATTTTTGCGTGGGACAATTTGACCGCTTGCCTCGCGTGATGCGTGACAGAGTCTTCAAATGAGCCTGAGCCCGCGTGACACGTGACAGGTAGTTGGTCATGTGGGTACAGTAGTCAGGTGAGTAGAAGGATAGCAAACCCTATCATTTTACCCCCATAGTCCCACAATTTGCGACACCTACTTACAACCAGGTGATAACATTACAGACCTTATAACATATGACCAGTGTCCATTAACCACTCCAGACAAGCTCACACAAGGAAGACCATGAAGTTTATCACCTGAAAAGGTGATCTAAGTCTCTTAGACTGTTGTTGTCAGACCAGGGCCCTATCCATGAATAAAGTCACATAAGACATGTCGGCAAAAGCAAATGGACACCACCAAGCACAATGCTTGGTTTGGTATTGAAAATATATGCGCACATCAAAACAACTTGTTCCGCCCTTCGAGGCTTCCCATTCCCTGTCACCGAGTGATACTGCCCTCATTCACAGCGTCATCTGGATCTAGGCAAGTCGTGAACATGTCGGGCAAGTCATTGAGCCCCCATCTTAGCGAGGTTGGATACGGGGGTAAACGGACACTCGCAAGTGCGTCGAGGTGATCGCCTTGGGCCGCCCTGATCCAGACTGTCAGTAGCCGGAAGCGACAATGCATACCATTTCTCACGGTTGGATATCTTGCACCACAACGGGAGGGTGCATGACTGGTGTTTCCTGGATTTTCGTGAGATTTGGGGTAGACATGGCGCGCGGGAACTGCTCACGAAAGATAAGTGGACTAGACTGATGGACAACTACATTCCAGATAAAAGCCATACCTGGCGGTAAAGAATGGATCGGAGCCTTTCAATATTGGAACCTTGAGCATCCAATGAGCCGACCGGAGATACATCGTCTAGCACTGAGATTTGTTAAGTAACGTGAAAAAGCTCAAAGAGTATGTCCCACATTCGTGAACTAACACTATGCAAAGCAGCAAACAAGTGTTAGATAAGTAATTAGCATACGCGTGCTTATTGCGAACCTTCCAAATATTTGCCTAGAGGATGACATCAAATATTACCACACGTCACTAAGAAGAAAAGAAAAGAGAAGATACTTCTAGGGTCGCCCATCCTTCGAAGATGATCCAAGAGAATAATAGTCGCCCTGAGAGTCCAGAAGGTTGGCCTCTTGATCTCAAGAAACCATGCTCCAACGATTTTCGATGTAAATGCATCAGCTTCCTCCACCGTTAGGCGCCGGTAAATCCCAGGCTGCCGTATAATCAAAGCCCAATGGCATGATTGGACAAGGTAAGGACCAGAGGGTTCCACTCTCTGTGCGGCCTCATTCAAATGTGTCACGAATGTCTCCGCGTCAAACTCTCCATCAAAGAAATCGACCGCCCATTGAACACTCTTCTCAAGCTCCAAGTCATAAACCACATTTGGTACGATTTCCGGGGGAAGCGGGACCAAACTGAGAGCGCTTGGGTGAGAATTTCGATAACGACTTAAGGCAAAGTCTGTTGCTATCGTATTCAGCTTGCAAAGGCGATTTCGACAGACGTGAAGGCAGGAAATCTTGCCTTGCTTTGAGGCCATCGTCGAGGTGAAATGCTTGGGCGCGTGCGCCGAAGATGGGGGTTCGCTGACGTCGCTTTCTGGACTTTTGACTTTGGATTGTACACACTGTGGATAGCACGATGTTATAGACTCCAGAAGCACATATGAGGACCCGAACCTCTTTTCCCAGACGATCACATCTTGCGCACTTGCCTGTGCTTAGAGTGGGCGTTGAACACCGGACCTTCCTGTTCAAAGGTATCAGCGCCAGCGAAGAACTGGTAATATATTTCCCTGACGCCTTTTTGCAGGTTTTGCAAGCTCCTCTTTGATACGGGCCACGAATACGGCGTAGAGACGTGGAAGACATAACGACGAGTATTAGCATGTGGATTATCACGTGCACAAGTCGATCGAGCACAACAACTCCAGAAGCACACATGACTCCGCGCTCAACTCCTGCGCACGAGTCTGCACATAAAGCCCCACGGTGCCCGGTGCCTAACTGCATCGACCACCCACGTCCGATTCCGAGGGCACTGTTGGAATACGAGTCACATGATGAGACTGAACCGGAATATCCGAGAATATTCTACAGGTTACTAGGTGCCTGCGTAAGCGCTGGGCATGGAAGAGCCTGGAATGTTGTTGAGGAGTATAAATATGGGCGCTGGAGCGCCGTGTGTATTTTAGTTATATTTCTTTCTATATTACATCTGGGTTGCGAGTGAACCGCTGAAGCGGGTTACCATATTTGGAACGCCGCGTTTACAACAGGCATGCCACTGTCACCACCATTTCCCCCTTTGCAACCCACAATGCCATGCCCTGCATTGCCCGCTCCATTGCCTTGGCCAACCGTTATGCCGCCGCGCGTTTGTGAAACAATGCACACCATGCCTTGCCCACGTAATACTCATGCTAACCGCTTTGATCAGCTGCCATACCCGATGCGACCACACACCTGCCGCCCACCGAGGGCACCATACCCTGATACACCATGTTATGTTTGCCCATGCCGTCATCGTCACCATCATTGTTGCCGTGCGCCACACCTCCACCCGTTGCAGCCGCCTGCGTCGATGTCGACATCTTTGTTCATTGCCACGCATGCACTGCCGCCCCCCTCCCCCTCTTGTGACAAATGAGCGCTTCAAGCAAAGGGAGGGAATTGTCAGTTGCTCAAAGCGCTCTTGCATGCCACACTCGCCCTCGTACTTGCTGTTTAACCCATGCACCCGATGACGCCACTGCCTCTGAGACCGTCGGGCTCCGAGACGCCGTGTTTGTTGTCGATGCCGACACCGACACAACCCCTGCTGGCCGTTTGGGCTGACCACCGTGCTGTCCGAGGATGCCTTGTCTTTGTCTGACCCTCGCTGTCAGCAACGCGACACCCCTGCCACCATCTGACTAGTGCTTCGAGCAAGGGGGGGATGACTCGCTATGTCATCTGCTCAAACCATTACCCCCACTGCGACGCGCTTGCCCATGCCATCGTTGTGTTACTGATGCCCTGGTACCTGCACCATCACCCCCGCCATTTGATCGACCGCATCCGATGATGCTTAACCTTGACCCGCTACTGCTGTCAACCCTGTCACAACCGCTGCTGCGATCTGATGCATGCGGCGCTTCTCTACTTACGTCAGCACTTTACCAATACTCCGCTTCACCACTCCGCTACCGCCATCGCATGCTCTGCAACATTTTACCGCTCTGCCGTGCGCCGCAGCCTCTCTAACCCCACTAGCTGCCATGCAGTCACTGCCCATGCCCTCACCGCTGTGCAATAATGACTTGCAACTCCACTGTCACCGTTGAACCTTCCACTCCAACGCGCATGCTAATTCAACGCAAGCCTGTAGCGTCTCGCGACATGACCGTCCATACGATGCCACCAGTGCTTGTCCATTACTCATTGCGCTTGACCATAATTTATGGCCGTAATCGCTGTACCCTTTAGCTGCTGTTGCCCAAACATTTGCCCTGCTCGCCCTATTGCTGTACGCTTTGCAACCAGGGGGCACTTTGAGCAAGGGAGGGTGTTGTGTTGCAAGCCGCGCCTTGCTCAAACTGCTGCTGCCCGCGTGTGCGCATATATGATGTACTGTCTACGCATCCTCCCTCCGACCACGACCACACGACCACACAGCCGTTGCTGCTGGTGCTACTGTTCCCCACATCGCCGCTCCTGTTGCCGGTGTCGCTGCCTACCCCATCTGTGTGCTGTGTGTGCGCGTTGACACCCCCCATTCTGGTGCGCTGTCGTGAAGTGCCGCCTCCATTGCCTGTGGACGAGACATCTCCGTGCTGTTTGAGGGTTCAGTAAAAACCCGCGGACGCTGTTGTTAAGCACTGCCGTTGCCCACGGATGAGACATTCCCGCACTCTGTTTACGGGTTCAGGTAAAAAAAACTTGTGCTTAGTCACACTCGCTGTTTGAGGGTTCTGTAAAAACCCGTGGATGAGGAAATTCCTGCATAGTTTGAAGCTTCAAGAAAAACCTTATGCTTGGCAGTGGGCTAAGTTTGCGTAATTCAGGATGCCTGTAAGATAGATGCGTGCAATACTCCCGGAATCCCCGTATTCATTCCGGAGTGTCTCCCAGATTTCCATCGCGGTATCTACCGATTCAATGAATGTTTGCACAAATGGGTTGCACTGGACATGCATTTGGAACACGGCTTTGCTGTCTTTCGGATTTTAGCTTCTTCAGATTGGTTGGCAGCAATTAAGTCATCAAGGGATTTTTCTATATGTGGGAGTAGGTCAAGGACTCTGAGGGTAGCTTTCATGTTAATTCTCCAGGTTCGGTAATTCTCCTTGCCGGTTAAGGCCGGAATTTTATATCCGCTGAGAGAAATGTCGTCAGCTGAGGAAGCCATAGTAACAACTGAGTTAAGAAGTCAAAGTCAAGTGAAGTCCGAGTGTATTGACTAGATAGGTATGACCCTTAGGCTGGGCTCATAACCTCTTATAATGTAGGGATTCCATGTAAGGCAATCCGCTACCTCAGCGGTAACACTCACGAGACCAGATGTACTGTACCCACATGACCAACTACCTGTCACGCATCACGCGGGCTCGCAGGTCAGGCTCATTTGAAGACTCTGTCACGCATCACGCAAGGCAAGCGGTCAAATTGTCCCATGTCACGCAAAAATGCTCATTCACTTGTGGCTATGCAAAGGCAATAGCAAATTTCCTTTTTTGGGTAATTGGTATGTTCAGAAACGAAAAACAGCAAGGTCGGAGGGAGCCAAAGCAACCTCATCAGGCTCAGCCATTTTCCCGAAATTAGCACTGCCTCCCTTTTGGGGCCCGGCTGGCCGGTTGGGTGTCACGCATCAAACTGAGTCACCGGTTGAAAATTTTGTGTCATGCTCAGGACCCAGCCGGTAGTTGGTCATGTGGGTACAGTAAGCTAGGGTGAAATCTGATGATTTTTGTCAACATCCATCGGTGTGTATTTATATACAATGTAAATCTATTGCAGAGTGGCCAGTTACAGGGCAACTGTGGAATTAATAATTCCCTCCACATTAGCCCTCCACATAAACACTGGCTGTGTCCAGTTCCTGTGACTCATGATTACAACAGTTGATACACCTGAGGATAGAAGGTTTTCACCTTGCATGATTTTATGACAATACTGTCCTTCAGGCATTATCCAGTAGACTGACAGATGCCAAGAACATCTCATTTCCAGTCTACTGGGAGATTGACTGTAAGGTCAGTTGGGGTTCTGACCTGATCACCACTCTACCACTCATCCCTTACCTCAACACACAAACATACATCTGCCAGGAGCTTGTAGAATGGAAAATCAGCATTAAGTCCATAGAGCCTTCTGCACACTTACTGGATGTATGTTATACTGACCCATCCATTGCAAGTATGGATTGCTGTGGTTGTACCAGTGATCAGCATTGGTTATTGGATGTGTCAAGAGCAACACATACAATAAGGCAGTCTTGTTTTGAAAGAACTGAGTCCTTTGCATGATGAGACACTAGTAGTCCTCCTGTCATGGATGCGCCCCATTGATCAAGAGCAAGCATCAAGTCAATCAAGACAATCCCCAGAGTAAGAATGCTAACCAGTATTTTGCCATGAAGCCAAATATCATTATCAAATATCATTATTTATATTAATATCGTAAATAAGCCTAGCCTGGTGTGGGATAGATGTCAGGGATTGTGTGTCAGTTCACAGGGATAAGGACATTCCCAAGAATTCTAGTCATTGTTAACACTGAGGTGCCATCCTCAGCAAAGACAGGGCTTATATACATAGGCACCATGGTCTACTAGAGTGCAGCTACAACAGAGATACATGGCAACCAATAAGAAGAACAACATGCAAAGAAGACTAATACTGTTAGAATGGGGTGAGAGTGGACGATTCCGGAGTGGAACCAGAGACTTAGCAAGGAGGGACCTTGGCCTCAGTGACTCAAGGGGGTCACAGACAGCTATTGCGTGATGCTCTCTGACTACTACTTGCCGCTTAACTCTTCTGGAGTCGGCTTGTTTGGGGGAGCAGGAGGGCTCTCTGCAACTTTGAGCGCAAAAAGACCAGTTTTTGGTTGCCAGCGAATGGACTCAAACTCTTCTTGAGGTGGGTTTCCTGATCTCTTCAACATCTCGGTTGATCGGAATTCGATGCCCTCGAAAAGCTGCCTCCCAGAATTGGCAATGAAATGGACAACACGAGGGTAAATAGAGTCTTCAGCAGGGTAGATCTGCTGGCGGAATGCATGTTTGAAGCGGTGAAGGTGACAGAGAATGAGACAAAAATGAAGGAGGCCAAATGTCAGGGCACACACCCTGACTAGCCCGGACCCGCACCTGCATGTGCACTCTGCCCCGCATGCTCCGCATGCCGCATGCTCCGGGCCCGGTTCCCACTCTTCATGTGACTTCCGGGTATCCCCGGAAGTTTTCACCATATTGGGCCACTGTGGGAAAGTGAGAAGTTAACCTTCTTCTCACTTTCTTACCCACAGTAGGCAAGTGTACATTACTTGCCTTTATCTTATTCACTTTCTTACCCACAGTAGAGTCATTGCCCTGGACAGGGCTGTTCATAGGTTAGGCTGTGGGCCATAGAGAGGGGTCATGGGGACCCGGGGATCGTCCCCCCATTGCTGTTTGTCCATTTGGTCAGAAGCAGTGGGCAAGAAGTCTCTAGGGGGCATTTCTAGTCAATTTTAGACTGAGGGTCTAATTGAGTATGTACAAGCACCTATGTACATATAATGGAGAGATGAAAGCACAAGGAAACAAGGGTGGTCCGAAATGGAACAAAGGCGTCTGAACCAGGGTTGGGCTGACCAGCGTCAGACCACCTGGTCACATGGTCAAATGTCACCCAGTCTGATCATGGTCTCTGGTCGCAGGGACTAATGTATTGGTCACAAAATGGCACATGGACATGTGACCCCACAGTGTTAGCCGAATGTATTCATTATATCTATAGCGACGCTGACCATCCCGCAACCTGACCCCCACATCTAGATTCATATCTCTGGCAACAAAATCTTGCATCTCCAGCTCCAATGTGAAGTTTTGTGTACCCTGGAACCAATAATGATTCCATGGCCCATCCAAGGTCATATTAAAAATGTCGCATATTGCTTTGCCTTGTAGACTAGCATGCTAATTAGAAGTGGTTTGAATATTAATGACAGAGTCCGGAAACTAGGAGGCACTTACACACTGAGAGTCGTGAGGGGAGTCATGGTAGACAGGGACATTTCGGCATAAACGAGGAATGTCCAAATCCTTGTTGAGATCATCAAGGAGATTGGTGCAGAATGAAAAGTTTGAGTGGTTAATGTCATCAGGAATTGAAGATAGGTGTCCATGTTCCAGCTCTAGGTGACTTCCTGTTGGACCACAGTCATTTGCTGAAGCATAGCCAAATGATTGTTGGATGCACTTCTGGTGTGTTCCTTCAACTGCATGCTCATGATTGAGGTCTAACTTGATGGCAGAAATTTTGACCATTTTTTTGACAGCTAACCAATTTTGTGAAGGGTCTTTAGTGTCACCAGTAATAGAGAAGAAGCGTTCAGAACTTGCGGAATTACAAACAAAAGAGAAAACAAGGATTGAAAGTTTTGCAAGAGTGTTATGGGGATGGGGAAAATTCCCCATTCCTCGATCCATTCTTATAGTGGGATGATGAAGGTCATGTCTAGTCTGTACCATAACGGGATAAGTAATCGATGAGTGGTCCCAGTCTTGTCTGGGCGGGGACGATTGAATTCCCATCGATCACGATTGGTGATGTAGTGAGCTATTAAGGGATTGATGGTAGGTAGTCGGAGATATCAGGATGGATGGGTCAGCCACAGGTACTTGGCACTCCTCAATGGAGCGTACCGTGTGCGAGGTCGCGACTTGTGAGATGGGTGAGAACTTCGTATAGCTGCCATCAGGTACTTGGCATTTGCAGTGCGAACGTACCGGTAGCGGGTTGATATCATAAGCGTGCAATGAGGATTGACTAACAGGGCCTTCAGTGACTTGGCGTTCCCAAAGGGAACGTACCGTTGGTGGGGAAACATGATGACTGACGAAGGAAGAAACAGACGGTGGATGAGCGGCTACTTGGCATTCACATAGCGAATGTGCCGGCATCATGGGAAAGTGGGCCTCAGAGTATTCACGATCTCTATGATTGTGATGTGACGTTATGTGTCAAGTACTGGGGGGAGAGCGGAGTGATGAGGACCCATAGGGTACAGATTCCAGAGGACGTAATACATGTCGAGAGTCTTCGACTCGCGACCTTGAGTTCTCATGGCGAGGGCCATTAGAGGACTTGATATAACCAGACATATAAGACATGTTGAGAGTTGTACAATCACACGGGTTCAGTTGAGTCACAGGGAGGGTTGTTACAGAAGACGACACACAAGACAGTTGTAGAGCAGTTGTGTCATATCCATTCCCGGCCATCGACTTCCGGACTCTCCGACCCCTCCGTTCTAACTCCGCTCCCCCCTCACCAACCTCGGAGCCCCCATATTCCGCAAACCTCCCGGTGCCCCTCGATGACCACCACCCCTTCATTTCAATTTATTACCTACGCCTCCCTAAGTACGGAGCCCCAAAGACTTCCGGACAGCTCCGACGTCCGCTAGCGCACTCCTGCCTCCGCTGGGCAATACACTCGCCTGCCCTGCAGAGTCCACCTTCGGGCTTATCCCTCCTTTCCGTTTCTGGGTTAACGCCTGCCTTTCCGCTAACCCCGCGAACCGACTCGTCGGTAATATTCAGTCGGCTAATGTCTTAACCCCGTTAGCTCCGCTCCGTCCGGCTCCGCCAATTGCGGAACCGTCTCCGCTGTAACCATATATATACACTACTTGTACATAGGTTACGCCCCAGCAGATAAATCAACTAGAGTTACCCCCACTAGGTTCTAAGTGCCAGTCAGTAAGTTAGGGCACGGACGTGTCACTAGGCACAGCGCTCCTGGCAGAAGTCGCTGAGGCCAAAGCCCTCCGTTACGGAGACATTCCTTCGTCTTAAAATCTGGTCTCTGACAAGTTGTTAGTTAGCGGGAACCGCCTTCGGCGGTTTCCGTACAAGACGCCTGACTATCTACAAATGGTAAGGTCGCAGGAAATCCCGCGAAACACAAGTAACCTCAGCCAGCACCAAAACCCCAATGGGGAAAGCTTTGCACGAGGGGGGGGAGGAAAGGGTAGAATGAATAAGGAGGGTAGGGTATCGGGATAGAGGACGAAAGAGAGAAAGAGGGGAAGCGATAGGGAGGAGAAGTCCGTGACCATGTGACGGATATGGTCGTTGGAGACTCCATATCCGTAACAAAGAGGGTCGGTGGTGCATGCACATCGCCATGCTTTGAAGGGATTGAAGTCCTAGAAGGAAAGCACCTGAAAAATTGCATTTGTGAGGTTGCACAGGCCCTTACTGGAATCCACTTGCAGAGGCTATTCTGATTCCAATCCCCATCAGCATAACCAAAAGCATCATGTGGATCCATCAGATATGCAATGCTGCACGGACCCCATTCCGCAGGTGGGGTGTCAGTTCCGAACACATGACAATACACCCATTCTATCATAGTGACTAGGAGTGCAGTAGAGACCATCGGTGTGAAAAGAGCAGTTTTGATGAAGGGATTGAGTGCAACTGCAGCAATGAAGACATCATGATCAACCTTTTTCCAGCGGAAATCAAGGCTGTTGAGAATGGCTTGGATGGGTGATGAATGGTTATCAATGACTGTGACCAGTGCAGCAGCAGAAATGTCAGTGTAGTATTTGCAGAGGTGACCAAAAATGGGCATGACCTGGTCCACCCTAGTGTTGGAATCTTGACAAACATTGACCACAACAGCCAGTGGCTCAATATGTTTCTTAATCCTGGAAAGGAGTTAGTACATACAGGAAGAAAAAGTACACATATTCACTCTCTCAAGTCATCCCAGAAGCCTTCATTCTGGATTGTTGCAAGGATCTGCCATGCTTTTGAAATTGCATCATGCCTCGTTCCAGCTGCTGTCTCGAGTTCATGCCTACTCCTGACTATGATAGTTTTAAATGGAATTTCCAGCTGAATTAATTGGCCAATGGCCATTATGTGTGATGTCCAGCGAGTAATACAAGGCCTAATAAGTGCCTTTGCTCAGTCTACAGTTCAGCATTGCTCCACATATAGTAAGTGAAGTGCAAGTGAATGATTATTGAACCAGTTTATGATGTCATTAGCTTCAGCCAATCTCAATGACATTTGTTAATTTTTTTAATGTAATCCCCAAGAACTAGTTGCATTTGTGCAGTGAGCAATAAATCAATGAACATGATCATAAGATAATCTATGAAAACCTACCTGGTGTGCATAGCAATCTGCTACTATTAAATGTGGGAACTGCTCCTGCAACCAAATGCGCACTGCCCTTGACTCTCCTGATGCATCTGAAACCCAGCCAATTAGCTTCAGATTAAGTTTATCTTTGATATATTTCTTCTCCTCCTTGATAAGGGTCAGCAACCATTCAGCTGTCTTTCGTTCACCCAAGGTGTTGTGGACATGTGTCACATGCACCTAAATTACAAACATTGAGCAGCATTATGAACAGTATTAATGCAAGAAACTGTAAGTTACTGTTCCCATAGCTGAGATCATGAATGCAATGATATGATTCTTGGATGTGTCCTTCCATCCATCACATTGCCCAGTTGCATATGCACCATCCATCATTTGAGTTAATCCCTCTTGGTGCAAGTTGTATTCAACATCCAAAATCTTTCCTGAAAGACACTTCCGAGTTGGGAGCTTAAATCCAGGATTCAGCATAGAGAACAACTTAGTGACCTCAGGGTCATTGACTGAGAGAAAGGACCATCCAGCTGATACAGTTGCGTGAAGCAGTTGCTGTTCAATTGCAGTCTGATCCTGGTCTGGGAGGTGGGGGGGAAGTTGTGAGAAGCTTTGCTGATGAGTTGGAACGTTAACAGTGGGAGGGATAAGCAGCATTGGAGTTGGAGACGGTGAGGTGAGGCCCATAGGAGATTCAGTGGTGGCATCCATAGATAGGGAGGGAAGGGGTGAGAGCCGCTTTTCTTGTGCATGCTTCCAAGCCTTACCTGCTTCCTGGCCTTTATTAACATCATTGGAATTGCTAAGTCATATTTTGCACTTGAGCACATACCAGCCATCCTAAGTTCTGCCTCACTACATCTCTCTGATATAATCCCTCTTATCAATTTTTCTGTGTCTTCATTTTCGAGTGCAGTAACATGCAATGCAATGCATCCCTTGCATTTGGCAGCATAATGGGATTTATTATTGCCATAGTGCTCAGGTAGTTTGTGAAAGAAGCTCCAGAGGGGGCTGGGCATGGGACTCATTGGTTGAGTATGAGGCAGGAAGGTGGATGGACAATTCTAAAAAATTCACACATTCAAACCGAGTCTCAAACATTGCGAATTAGGGTTGCATCAGTTGCTTGATTTCATAAAACAACATGATGGCTGGGTGGTACTAGCTAGGCAGGCTTACACACTGCATTAAATGTGCATTCCATCCTAGTTTTAACCTTGAAAAGTGGGTCAGGGGGACAACAGCTGTCTCTCAATCATACATGCACTTCCTGTTTGGGCTGTTCCAATTGACTGGCATTGACGTGGGAATGACATGTCTGACATGAATTTGACCAGTCAATGTCTGACCATGTGACCGTTTGTGACCATGGTCCATCCAACACTGGTCTGAACAGAGACAAAGGGAATTATGGAAGTGGAGCGGTACTGAAGGTCATGGGTTAGTACATCTGAAAGAAGGTAGGGAGGGTGAAGCCCAGAGGGGCAGGTGTCATATCCATACAATCCCGACCTCCGCTCCGGGCTCCCGGAACTCCGAACCTGACTTCCGGAGTCCTACTTCCCTTCCGTCACCTCCTCCTTGCCGACTCCCAAGAGGTTATCCCACCTCCGGCTCTGACACCACCTTTGGTCCGACTCCGGAACATTCCGGGTCCAACCCCAACCTCGACACCTTCCAGACGAGTACGCAAAACCTATGCTCCCAACTCCGGACCTCCGCTCCGGAATCCCGTTCGCATCTCCGTCTCTGGAACCTCCAGTCTTAGCTCTGACCTCGGACTTTGACCCCACCTCCACTTATACCCATTGTATTGGTTGGCTCATTCCATTTAATTATGTTTGCCAATATTCCGGAGTTTAACTTCCGAGTTCGGACTTTCCGGACTTACCTCGGACCTTGCAACTATTGCATTGTCCTATTCAATTCCGCTATTCTCCCTCATTCCTATTTGGGCTGCTGCTTCCTTTCTATTCAGTCAGCTAGCCATTCCCCACTCCCAACCTCCTTCCTTCCTCCTTGGGCCTTGGCCCTTCACTCCTCCTTTGGGAAACACCATTGAGTCAAACCCTTGACCCTCGGTGTTGTTCCTCTTTCCAGCTCCCTTTGTCTCCTTTTGGAGTACCCTCGCTCCTTTTGATTCCGGACCCCTCCTTATATACAATGTACATAGTAACTTGTAACCTCAGTCCGAAATCAACCTGAATTCCCCCCAAGAGACTTTCCCTCTGCTAGATCCGAAATTAGGGACCCCTAGGACAACCAGCAATGGCACAGCGCTCCGCCTGAGTCGCTGAGGCTGAGGTCCTTCCATGCTAAGTCTCCGATTCCACTCCGGAGTCGTCCAAATCTGCACATTCTAACAGCAGGAGGATGAGGTGAAGTGGGGTTGGTGACTAACTGGCTAAAATGGAAAGAAGCAGTATCTGAAATAGGGATGAGGGAGAAGTGCAAAATATACAGCCCAAGCAGTGAAAGTGCCGAGAACGGTCCATGAAGCTTGGAGGTAGCGGAGCTTATGGAAGTTATGGAGATGGAGTTGGAAGTCTGAGGAATATTGGTGATGGGGTTTACATGAAATGAGGTCACCAATGCAGTGGACTTAAGCCAAGGTGGAGTCAAAGTCTGAGGTTGGAACTATGATGGAATCTCAGAGTGAAGGCACAAGCAGTGTCCAAGTATGGGGTATGGGATGGTGGTGGAAGGTCGTAACTTTGGCAGAGGTTGGCAGAAGAGGGATGGAAGGAAAGGAGCAAGGAGAGGAGTGAATGTCAGGTCCAAAGGTGGGTATTGGAGCGGATGGCAATAGGGTAGGACTCCGGAGGTGGTGAAGTGGAGGGTCCGGAAGTCACATCGGGATTGGGTATGTACAGATATGACAAATACATTCAGCTAATTGTAAGCAAGATGTGGAAAAGGGGTGACACATGGTGGAAGATAGTGGCATGAGAGAATGAGGGATTTTATCTGCATTCTTGTCATGACCCAGCAATTCCCACAGTCAGGTGCTCACTCCCCACCCCTTTTCCCACCTCCACTCTGACCCTGTCCACTCCACTCCCCACCTGATGCTGTCTGGACAAGCCCATCACCCTTAGGTACCTTTTTCATGGTCCACAATGGGCCTATGTTCATTCCCTATTTACTCTTGTTTTCTTGATGGCCATGCACAGCCATCCTTCTCCCATGTTCTTTGTTTGTTTTAATCCTTTCTTAAAGCTCCCTGCAATCTCCGTGAGATCTGGTGACTAATTCCCATTCATTCTGTTACACTTAAATACCAGTTGTAAACTACCTTGTACCTCAGTTCAAAAATCAACTAGGGTTACCCCCTGTGTGTCCTGTCTGACTCAGTTGCACTCCCTGTACCCTGAAATATCGGGGCTGCATCAAGAACAAGGCACAATGCTCACAGATGAGTCATTGAAGCCAAAACCCTGCTTTGCCACGATTGTCAATCCCACCCTTAACAGGCTGTTATGCCAAGACAGTGGACCTTAACAGTTGCCAATGGTGAACCATGGTAACATTTCCCATGCCCCTGACAATTCTTCAGATCAACCCAGATCGGCTCACAGCTTCTCTCCTTTATTAGGAGAAAGGTCAACATCCCACATACCTTGTGCATGAACACATGATCTACATGATTGTCTGTCATTCCTTTCTTGGTTACTCTTTTCCAGCTGCATAGTAGAAGGCTTAAAAGCCTTAACTTTTCACCCTTGTCTCCCTCCCTCAGTTCGCTTGTTCAGAACTGAGGTGAGCTTTCTTGTCTTCACTGTCTTAGTCAATGACTAAAATCCTTGTAATATCCTAGCACTTACAATGTGCCAGGTAGATAGGCAATTCATTTAGTTTGCTTGTTCAGAACTGAGCACTTACAACCTGCTAGATTCTCACATCCTTCCAGCATAGGGGGTCAGGGGAGTGTCAGGGCACACACCCTGACTAGCCCAGACCCAGACCTGCATCTGGACCTGCTACACTTCCCATGCGCACTTCCTGCACTGCATGCTCCATGCACTGCATGATCCAGTCCTGGATCCTGCCCTCATGTGACTGCTGGGTATCCCCAGAAGTTTTTGCCATATCAGGGCCACTGTGGGAAAGTGAGAAGTTAACCTTCTTCTCACTTTCTTACCCACAGTAGAGTTATGCCCTGAGATGGGCTGTGGTTATGGGTTGGGCTGTGGGCCATAGAGAGGGGTCATCCCCTGACAGGGAGCCAGCTAAGGTGTGCCCTGACAATAGAGCACAAATTGTGCAGAAATGAAGAATGTTAGAGACAGTGGATTCAGATGGTTCCAGAATGGAATGGGAGACTCAATATGTGAGGACCTTGGCCTCAGTGACTTGGAAGGGAGTGCTGTGCCACTACTGTTTATCTGAGGGGGTCCTTAATTTCAGGGCTGATGAGGTAAGTCTCAAGGTGGGAATTCAAGGGGGGTTCTAGTCACAATTTTAGACTACTGTACAAGCAATTATGTACATAGTCTATATATAAGGGGGAATGGAGGTGTCAGGGCACACCATGCCACTCCCCTCTCCTTCTTCTCCCCCCCTCCTTCTTTCTTTCTTTCTCTCCTTCCTCTTCTTCTTCTCTATCCTTATACAGATGACCCCCCTTTTTCCCACATCTGTAGCATGGACATGTCCGATACCAAGCATCCTGCATGGGTACCATGACACTGGACATGCCATGCATTCTTACCTGTGTTTCTCTTCCCTGACACTCAGGATTGACTGTGGAGCCACCTGCAAAAACCCGGTGTAGGCAGGAATCCCCACTACCATACAAACAAGCCCAGAAATTGGGATCCTGACACCCTGACGAACACCCTGTGCCCGATGCACCTCATACACGGTCTCAGATACCCTTTCTACCATTTCCATATTTTTCCCGATTTTTCCGATGCATTTCCAGCCCTACAGTCAAGATTCCCATGCCTGTCAATCTAGTGGCCACCCAATTCCAGGCATATCTCAAGAACCACTGGATGGATTTGGATGAAATTAGTACCATTGGAAAGCTACGAGCGAGGAGAGTCCATTCGGGTGGCGGGAGAAGGTTTTTGGATGCTCAATTAGGAGGGATACTATTTCCATCATTCATTTTATTGTTTCTGATATTGTTTTCATTGCTTTTATTTGTATTTTCTTTCCATCACTTTCTTTGCTATTTTGTGTCGCCATGGAGGCGCATTTCTATTCTTCCCCTTTGCCCTGCAATTTCTCACTTATAGCACACATTTTCATGTATGGAACAGGGGACTCCCCTGATGAGAAGGGACACCCCCACCAAGTAACAAGTTGATTGATAAGTTTAGTGATGCCAGAGGGCGACATACGAGCTTATACAGTATCTCTGACTCCTGACAACTGTCCAAGAAGGACCAGGAGTGAGTACTGATTTAGTGAGATTTTATTGATTGTTTTCTAGCACCCGGACCACAGCACAGTATCAGCACTGTTGCCACCATCCTTCCCTTCTGACCCGATTCAGACACTACCCCCAGGTCCCTACTCTCTTGCCTGGGCAGCCTTCTTGCCAGGTTACACCAGCTTCATCCAAGGATGATGTGGCACCTCCACATGACCTGTTTTCACATGTATATAAACTAAGCCGAAGCAGGACCGAAGAAGCAGCCTTCTTCTCATTCCTGCTTCAGGCAAGTAGTTCAGCCTAGTTTAGCTTTCCATTTTAATAACAATACACTCCCGCTTCAGCCTAAGAAGCCACACAGGGAAACAAGCCTGAGTGAGGGCTGTCCACCTGTCAGAGACCAGATCGAGATGAAGGAAGGTCTCTGTGGTGGAGGGCTTCAGCCTCAGTGACTTATGCCAGGAGTGCTGTGCCAAGTAACATGTCCATGCCCTAACTTACTAACTGGCAACCAGAACTAAAAGGGGGTAAACTCTAGTCAATTTTATTACTGAGGTGCAACCTATGTACAAGTTGAGTATATATAGTTACAATGAGGGCTGGCCCATAAATGGTGGGGCCGAGCGGAGTGGAGCTAACGGAGTTAAACATTAGCCGATTGAATATTACCG